GTGGCAGCTCTTGGAGATGTTCAGACCTTTATGGGAGCCTTCCCTTTATGAAGACAGGTAACACACTTGGTGTGGCTTTAAACAAGCCAAGTTCCTTGATTTCACAGACGTTTTCCTTTTAGTTTCTGGGCAAGCGCTGGGCTCTGCAGCTCCTAGAAGTGACTGCCCAGCCCATTCCTGTTCCATTATGCTATTTCTTCTCTCCAGGTGCCCCATGTCTGGCCAATGCGCTGACCCTCAAGCATTCTAATTTAAGGTAGTGCTAGGGAAAAGAAAAGAAGACATTCCTGGTTCAGTGGTAGAATCTCACCTTCCATGCAGGAGAACCAGTTTCCATATCCAGCCAATGCACCTCATCTGCAGCTTCCACCTGTCAGTGAAGGCTTTTGTGTTGCTGTGATGCTGAATAGGCTTCAGGGGAGCTTCCAGACTAAGAAGGACCAGGATGAAAGACCTCATGATCTACTTCTGTAAATCAACCAGTGAAAACCCTATGGATCACAATAGTCCGATCTGCTACTGATCATAGAGATGGCACAGGACGAGGCAGCATTTCATTCCTTTCTGTATGGGGTTGCCATGAGTCAGGGGTTGATAAAACACACATCAGACTCTTCTGATAATTGTTGGCAGTGAGAAAAGGACTTGATGGAAACAGCCAATTGGAATCCCTTGCCTCTGGTGACCCTAAGCAATTATATAATCTCACTGGGCCTTAGTTTGCTCATTTATAAATTGGGAAATAATGAGACATCTGTCAGTGAGGCCCTTAGACAAGGGCAGCCAGGGCCTCCACGTGGGCCCTTCGCTTCTCAACCTGTAATGTACACACCTGGGGAATCTTGTTAGAATGCAGATTTTGGGTCGGTAGGTATGGGGTGGGGCCTGAGATTCTGCAGTTTGAGGATGAAATAAGCAGATGTGAATACCAGTGGCTAAAAGAGTGCCTCCTGGTTGGTGGGGGCTCAGTAGGTGTCAGCTCTCAAGAGCTTTAGATAAGAGATTCAGTGGAGGAGACACATTCTGATGAAACTGTGAGGGCACAGTGACAGGGTCACAGGAAGGCTGAGCTGGGAGTGATTAGAGTGTCTAGACCTACAGCACCTCTAAACCACCTGGAGGCTCCTAACCTTTTGGGGACTAGTGGGACATACATATCCCAACCACTTTTTATGCCTCTGGAGTTCTTTGGGAAGGAGGTAACCCAATTTTAATGCATTTAGCCCCAAAATGGGAGCCTTTTGAAATGTGTGAAACTCAAAACTCTTGAGTGGGAGACTGATTTTTGTGTAGATTGAGCATTGTCTTAGGTGATGCTCCCTGGATGTGTGACTTTTCTGAACTTTTGACAGGTTTGCCTTTATTTCTGTGAGATAAGCCTCCTCACTATGTTTCCCAGTTACTATGTTCTTGTGAGAATGTACTTATTGTGAGAATAACCTATTGCCACTCTTCATTCAGTCATGTTGTGTTGTTAGGTGCCGTCAAGTTGGTTCCGACTCATAGCAACCCTGTATACAACAGAACGAAACACTGCCCAGTCCTGCGCTATCCTCACAATCATCATGCTCGATTCGACCCCACTGTTGCAGCCACTGTGTCAATCCATCTAGTTGAGGGTCTTCCTCTTTTTTGCTGACCTTTTACTTCACCAAGCATGATGTCCTTCTCCAGGGACTGATCCCTCCTGATTACATGTCCAAAGTATGTAAGACGAAGTCTTGCCATTCTTGCTTCTAAGGAGCATTCTGGCTGTATTTCTTCCAAGACAGATTCGTTCATTCTTCTGGCAGTCCCTGATATATTCAATATTCTTTGCCAACACCATAATTCAAAGGCATCAATTCCTCTCTGGTCTTCCTTATTCATTATCCAGCTTCACATGTATATGAGGCAATTGAAAACACCATGGCTTGGGTCAGACGCACCTTGGTTCTTAAAATGCCATCTTTGCTTTTTAACACTTTAAAGAGGTCTTTTGCAGCAGATTTGCCTAATGCAATACGTCATTTGATTTCTTGACTGCTTCCATGGGCGTTGATGGTAGATCCAAGTAAAATGAAATACTTTACAACTTCAGTCTTTTCTCTGCTTATCATGATGTTGCTTATTGGTCCAAGGATTTTTGTTTTCTTTATGTTGAGATGTAATCCGTACTGAAGGCTGTGGTCTTTGATCTTCATCAGTAAGAGCTTCAAGTCCTCTTCACTTTCAGCAAGCAAGGTCGTGTCATCTGCATAATGCAGGTTGTTAATGAGTCTTCCTTCAATGCTGATGCCCTGTTCTTCTTCATATAGTCCAGCTTCTCAGATTATTTGCTCAGGATACCGACTGAATAAGTACGGAGAAAGGATACAATCCTGACGTACACCTTTCTTGACTTTAAACCACTCAGTATCCCCTTGCTTTGTTCGAACGATTGCCTCTTGGTCTACGTAGAAGTTCCTCATGAGCACAATTAAGTGTTCTGGAATTCCCATTCTTTGCAGTGTTATCCATAATTTATTATGATCCACACAGTTGAACGCCCTTGCATAGTCAATAAAACACAGGTAATCATCTTTCTGGTATTCTCTGCTTTCATCCAAGATCCGTCTGACATCAGCAGTGATATCCCTTGCTCCACAGCCTCTTCTGAATCCAGCTTGAATATCTAGCAGTTCCCTGTCGATGTACTGCTGCAACCACTTTTGAATGATCTTCAGCAAAATTTTACTTGTGTGTAATATTAATGATGTTGTTCAGTAATTTCCACATTTGGTTGGATCATCTTTGTTGGGGATGGGTGCAAATGTGGATCTCTTCCAGTCTGTTGGCCAGGTGGCTCTCTTCCAAAATTTTTGACATAGACAAGTGAGCACCTCCAGCACTGCATCAGTTTGTTGAAACATCTCAATTGGTATTCTGTCAATTCCTGGAGCTTTGTTTTTCCTTTGTGCCTTCAGTGCAGCTTGAACCTCTTCCTTCAATACCATCAGTTCTTGATTATATGTTACCTCCTGAAATGGTTGAACATCGGCCAGTTCTTTTTGATACAGTGACTCTGTGTATTCCTTCCTTCTTCTTTTGATGCTTCCTGTGTCGTTCAGTATTTTGCCCATAGAATCCTTCAGTATTGCAACTTGAGGCTTGAAGTTTTTCTTCAGTTCTTTCAGCTTGAGAAATGCTGAGCGTGTTCTTCTCTTTTGGTTTTCTATCTCCAGGTCTTTGCACATTTCATTATAATACTTTACTTTGTCTTCTTGAGCTGCCCTTTGAAATCTTCTGTTCAGCTCTTCGACTTCATCATTTCTTCCTTTCACTTCAGCTATTCGACATTCCAGAGCAAGTTTCAGAGTCTCTTCTGACATCCATTTTGTTCTTTTCTTTCTTTCCTGTCTTTTTAATGACATCTTGCTTTCTTCATGAATGATGTCCTTGATGTCATTCCACAACTCGCCTGATACTCGGTCATTAGTGTTCAATGCATCAAATCTATTCTTGAGATGGTCTCTAAATTCATGTGGGATATTCTCAAGGTCATACTTTGGCTCTCGTGGACTTGTTCTAATTTTCTTCAACTTCAACTTGAACTTGCATATGAGCAATTGATGGTTTGTTCCACAGTTGGCCCTTGACCTTTTTCTGACTGATGATATTGAGCTTCTCCATCGTCCTTTTCCACAGATGTGGTTAATTTGATTCCTGTGTATTCCATCTGGCAAAGTCCATGTATAGTAGCCATTTATGTTGTTGAAAAAAAAAAATTTGCAATGAAGAAGTTGTTGGTCTTGCAAAATTCTATCATGCGATCTCTAGCATTGTTTCTGTCACCAAGGCCATATTTTCCAAGTACCAGTCCTTCTTCTTTGTTTCCAAGTTTTGCATTCTAATCACCTCATTCAGACATAGTGGCCATTTTCTCCTTTATGCCATTTATTGTTTTCAGGTGTTACTGGCTCCCTTCTTTTCTAGCTTCTGAGCAGTAAATAATGCCTTCCCGGTAAGAAATCGTGCATTGCAGTGGTAATTTTCAAGAGACTCGAACGCCTATAAGTCATTCTTACCACACATTCATTGACTCATATTGTTAGGATTTATTTTGTCCTGGCATCTGCTGAGACTTAGGTGATTCCGGATAATGGGTATCAAAGTCCATAACTCAAAACAAAAATTCTGAATTGGTCCTTTCATCATCATGCCTTCCATCAGTTCTACTGTGTCCTATAAGGTCACGATGAGTCAGAATCGACTTGATGGCAACGGGTAGGTGCTTTTGATGCTGTTTATTTGGGAACAGACGATCATTTGTTGTACCATTGGATTTGGTCCAAACCATCATTTTAGAGATGGGGGGATTAAGATCCAGAGAGGTGAAGTGACGGCCCTAAGTCACACATTTAGTTCATTCAGGTGTCCATTCATTCATTCAAGGTATGTTTACTGAACACCTACTGTGTGCCAGGCATTATTCTGGGTTCTGAGTAGGATGCGTTGGTGAAAACCCTAGCTGTGTGGAGCTCATAGTCTAGTGGACATCAGACATGGACCAAGTAAACAGTTGGGACAATTACAAATGGTACTGAATACTTTCCATCCTATGCAAAGAAGAGGGTGAGATGGCCAAGGGTCACAAGGGACCCACCTTACACTGGGGAGTCAGGGAAGGCCCCTCTGAGGCGAGACCTAAAGAGTTAGCAGGAAGGAACCAGGTGGAGCGTGAACAAAGTCAGGGGGACAGTGTGGCACTTGGAGGCCCTGAGCAGATGCCGGTTTGACCACAGTGTGGTGGGTATGACAGAGAGCGCCCTGAGAGAGGCTGCAGGGGTGGCTGCAGCCAGGCCACAGAGGACTTGTGCTTTGATGACTGTGCAGGAGGCCGCATCTCGGATAGGTAGATGGACAGCCACCTGCTTTCCTAACCCTTCTCTGCTGTTGCTCAACGGCTTCCAAGGTCAAGCCCACTCCCCTCCCCTTAAGTCAGGCCCTCTCTAACTCACTATCCTCCATTCTGTTCACAGCAAACGGGCCCCATCAGTGCCACCCTGGTGATGACCCGCCCCATCAAAGGGCCCCGGGACATCCAGCTGGACTTGGAAATGATCACTGTCAACACCGTCATCAACTTCAGAGGCAGCTCGGTGATCCGACTTCGGGTATATGTGTCGCAGTATCCCTTCTGATCCCTGAGTGGGAGCCTGTGGCACTGCCTCTCACCAGCACCAAAGGTCAGGAGAAGAGAAGACACAAGCGAGGGAATGAGAGCGAGACAGACATTACGCCTTTCCTGCTGACCATTTCCCTGAGGGGTCAGCCCCCACGGCCTGAGTCCCACCTGTATTATTGGAGACTATCACTCTGAAGGACATGCTGCCCCCAGTTCCTATGACGCAGTTACCCAAAAGCATTATCATTGGCCCCTGATGTGAGATCGTTGGTGATTATTGAAGGCCTCTAGTTTATTTTCATATTTTTTTTCAAAGAAAATAGATTGTTTGCTGGGGTCTGAGTCTATGTTCAAAGACTGTGAACAGCTTCCACTCACCTCTTCCACTCCTGTCTATCTCTAGCTGCATTGCTGCTTTGCCACAGCCCAGGGAGCTCATGGGGAACGCTGGGTATAGCTAGTTTGCTTCTTGCGTGTATGGAGAAAGCTATGGAAACAAACCACAGCAGAATCTAAGGGTTTTTAAAGAGTCTATTTCAAAACCATGTCTGGTATTTTCAGCCATAAAAGAAGTTTTAGTTGTCCATAAATTTGTATAACTGTTTAATCCTTTCTTGTTTATTTGAGCTTTTTTTTTTTTTAAATAAGTGGTAGAATGCCTTCAAAAGACCTTCAGACCCATTATGTTCTGTCTTCCCACACCCAGTCTCCTCTCCGTTTTAGTCCAGTGTTTTCTTTGAGGACCCCTTAATCATGCTTTCTTCAGCATTTTTACCCAACTGGGTTGGAAGGCAGAAGTTTCCAAAACTGATTAAATATTTGAAGATATCTTATGTTTGCTTCATTTTGACTTTGTAGATGATTCACCATTTGGGGTTGGTTCTGGTTCTCTTTAAACCTGCTGGCTTGGAAAAGTCTCCAAGGAGCTGGATCATCACTTAAAATTGAGGCAAATTGATGGGGGCGGGGGAAGGCATGTGCAGAGAAATGGGGGTGGCAGAGAAGTTAGGAGCAGCATCTTCCCTGAGTCCTATTTCATTCCATTTCAGAACAACTAATCATCCCTCCAGTGTGTAGATTATCTCCAGGCACTCTTCCAGAACAGCAGTGTACTCAAGTTACTTCAAACCAGTGGTCCTCAACCCTTTCTTAAAAGTGGAGCTTTTAAGAAAAAACTGATTATCTTGGGCTCACCCCCAGATATTCTGATTTCCTTGGTCTGGGATAGGGCCCTGGCATTGGAATTTAAAAAAACTGTAATGTGTAGCTGGAGTTGAGAACCTATTGTTATAACCCCTATAAAGAGAGGGGACCAATGTGGCCCAAGCCCTGAGCACCTTGCCCTCCACATCCTTTCAGTTAATTATAGAGTTCATCATCCTTTTCCTGATCAGGGACACTGGATTTCCTTCAAGTCTTTTTTTATTATTATTTATTTATTTTTTTATTGTACTTCAGGTGAAGGCTTATAGAACAAATAGTTTCTCATGAAACAGAAGTACACATGTTGTTTTATGACATTGGTTAACAATCCCACAACATATCGACCCTCTAACTTCTCAACCTTTTTTTTTTTGGTGAAAATACACATAGCCAAAGATACACCATTTCAAAAATTTCTACATGCACAGTTCAGTGACATTGACTACGCTCTTCCAATTGTGCTGTTATTCTCACTTAGGATGAAGGCTTACAGAACAAAATAGTTTCTCATTTAACAGTTACTATAAATGTTGCCCTATGACAATGGTTAACAATCTCACAACACATCAACAATATCCTTACTCAACCTTGGGTTCCCTATCACCAGCTTCCTTGTCCCCTTCTGCTTTCTGGCCCTTGTCACTGGACTCCTGTACCTCGTTAGTCTCATTTGGTTTTACAGGGCTGTCCGCTCCCAGGCTGAACAGTGAACCTCAGAGGTAACTTCACCACTGAGCTAAAAGGGTGTCTGGGGGCCACACTCTTGGGGCTTCTCCAGTCTCCTTTAGGCCAGTAAATCTGGTCTTTTTTTGTGAGTTAGAATTATGTTCTACATCCTTCTCCAGCTCTGTCCAGAAACCTCTGTTGTGATCCCGGTCAGAGCAGTCAGTGGTGGTAGCCGGGCACCATCTAGCTGTACTGGACTCAGTCCGGTGGAGGCCTTGGTAGCTGTGGACAGTTAGTCCTTTGGACTAAACTTTTCCTTGTATCCTGTTCTCTTCATTCTCCCTTGCTTCCGAAGGGATGAGACCAGTGGAGTATCTTAGATGGCCGCTCACAGGCTTTTAAGACCCCAGACACTACTCACCAAGGTAGAATGTAGAGCACTGTGGATTTCCTTCAAGTCTTACAATCTCAGGCAGGGCAAAGAGAGCCAACAGTGCAAGTCACAGATTTGCAAGGTGGGATAGCTGCCGTTATGTGCCATCCTGGGAATCGACCTGAGAGTTTAGAAGGAGAGAGTGCACAGGTGGGCCCTCCTTGATGGATGTGGTTGAGTTTATAAGATAGATCTGTGGATGCTTCCATTCTACCTGTTGAAAATACGTTTATTAAAGACTTACCCTGGGTGGTGCACATGGTTAGTTCAATGCTGGTTACTGCTGGGCTGCTAACCAAAAGATTAGAGGTTTGCGTCCACCTGAGGTGCCTTGGAAGAAAGGCCTGGCGATCTACTTCAAAAAAGTGAGACATTGAAAACTCTCTGGAGCACAGTTCTACCCTGATACACATGGGGTCACCATGAGCTGGAGGCGGCCCCACTGCAGCTGGTTGGTTGGTTATGTGCCAGGCACTGTTCCCTGGACTCCTAGGTCTGGTGGGGTTTCAGAGACCCTTAAGAAGTAGTTCTTCCTGGAGGGAGATAGCCTGTCGAGCCCCCTGCAGCACCCAGGCGCTGCATGTCTGCCTTCGTCCCCCAGGGAGCCTGTCTTACACCACACACCTAACCTTGCTGATTGGTGGCTGTGGTTATTTTTTTCTCGAACTACAACTAAGCACATCCAAATTGCTTTCAGTTATGCTCCTGCAGTTGGGTTCAAGCAACGGTAACAATGACATCCACAGCAAATGGCTCAGGTGCCCAGTTTCATAGCTTGGAAGAGATACGACCATTTCCCACAGCCTGGCTGGCATGCGGGCCCAGCTTGTGTGTTCTTCACAGAGCAAAGACCGGAAGGTCACCCAGAGCATGGGGCTCCCAGTGTGTGGGGAGGCCAGGGTATCAGGGCGGGGTGTGGCGTCAGGAATGCTGAAGGTTTTCGTGGGCTCTGCACCAGGCAGCTCCTGCTCACCGGCTCCCTGCCTCAATACAACACCAGGGTCAGATTTCCTTTAACTTCTGAGAAAGAAGGAAGGGAAGCTTTGTCCTGGCAATTCGAGGACCCACTGGCTTCAGAGGTGCCACTTTTGGAACCAGACCGAAGTCTCTAGGGCTTGCGTTTTATTTGTTCACATCAAAATGTGGCTTCCTGCTTCTAAGAAAAAAGGCACCGAGAGCCTCATAAAAGGGCTTCTTGGGCTCAGACGGCTCTTTACAAACATGCTCGATGAGTTCAGTGTAAATGAATCAGAAGCATGTGGGATCAATTTTTCTTAAAATACACTTGGGCCTAAAAATTAAGGGAAAAACGGCCTGGGGCAAAGTGTGTACTGCAAGGCCAAACCCCAAACATTTGGGAAATAGTTCCAGTGGCTCCCAGAACCCAAAGAGCTGTTTGCTTCAGTCACCCCTTGGGAATCGTCGGATTCTTATTATCAGAAGACGGGGGGTAAGTCTGTGCTTTGAATCACAGCGTCGTGCTCTACCACGGAGTCTAATGGGGGTGGCTGTTCCTTCGGGCCCTGAGATACCTGGACTGTCCTCGCCTGTCCCTAGTCAGCCTACCCCATCCAGGAACCAGGCTGGAAGCTTGTCATCTGAACCCTGCTCTCTACTACTCTATCAGGTTGTGAAGAATGAAGGGTTCTGTGGTGGAAGGGGTGCCAGATTAAGAGCTGAGAAGCCTGCAGAAGTCCTTGTGTTACCACCTATTCTTCTGGATTCAGTAGGGATGAAAACTTCCATTCAGTTCCTTCTAATTCTAAACTTCTGTAATTCCTTGAAGTGTACTTGGGGGATGACAGCCAGCATTTCCATTAAACTGCCATTTTAGAGTTTCACAGTGGCTTGCCAATCATAACACTTTCTAATTGGCACAAGATCCACCTACCTGTTGCCTCTCAGGCTTGGATAACATGCTTTAAAATTTTCTTAGGTAACAGTCTTGGCTCTTGGGTGTTCTTTTTTCCAGATGGTAAAAACATTTAAGTATGTCTGATTGCTTTATTTTCCGTGGTTTCAATGTATTTTTGTGGCCTGGGTATTTAATGTGCACAAGTTGTTCATCCTGAGCCAAGAGGGTCATCTGGAGAGAGATGGCATGACAAAGGGGCAATTGTTCTTTACTCCCTTCTCACCAGAGGAAATCCTGTCTGTCAAAGGCCTTTGCCTTAAGGGAGGAACATTCTTTGCTTGAGTACCCACTTTGGTTGGGCCCCTACCCGCCATACTTTGGTGTATCCAGTTGCTGGATTCAGAGAGATGAACAAGACAGACACAGCTCACAGATGACACATGTTATCCAAGTGTTTATGTCACCTGTGAGGCAAAACTGGAATATAGCATGATAGGTGCATTTTAGCAGTATGGACAAAATTATTTTGGTTAGTTTTTTTTTCTTTTGTGGTAAATACATATGTAGCAAATTGTTTGCCATGTCAACATTCTTCATGTGTATAATTCGGTGACATTAATTATGTTTATCGGGCTACATAAACCAGAGACTTCATCAGCCTGAGACCAGAAGAACTAGATGGTGCCCGGCTACCACCAATGACCACCCTGACAGAGAATACAACAGAGAGTCCCGGATGGAACAGGAGAAAGGTGGGGTGCAGAACTCAAATTCTAGCAAGAAGACCAGACTTAATGGTCTGACTGAGAGTAGAGGTACCCTGGAAAGCATGGCCCCTGGATTTTCTATCAGCCCAGAACTAAAACAATTTCTGAGGCCAACTCTTCAGACAGGGGTTGGACTGGACTTTGGGACATAAAGTGATACTGGTGAGGAGTGAGCCTCTTAGCTCAAGAAGATACAAGAGACTAAATGGGCAGCTTCTGTCCAGAGGTGAGATGGGAAGGCAGAGGGGGTTAGGAGCTGGTTGAATGGACATGGGGAATCGGGTGGAAAGGAGGAGTGTGCTGTCATGCTATGGGGAGAGCAATTAGAGTCACATAACTATGTATAAATTTTTGTATGGGAAAAAATAAAAAAAAATCATGTTTATCATGTTGTTCAACCATCCCCACTATCCATTTCCAAATTTTCCCATAACTGTTAACAGAAGTTCAGTGTTCCCTAAGCAATGAGTTCTGCTTTTCCCTTCCCACTCATTCCTTTCTGGTAACCACTAAAAAAGTTTGGTCTGTATACACTTTCCTATCCTAGATATTTCATCCAAGTGAGATCATACAATATTTGTTCCTTTGTGACTGATTTCCCTCAGCACAATGTTTTCAAAATTCATCCATATTATAGCATCAGCACTTCGTTTCTCTTTATGGCTGAGTAATATTCCATTGTATGTATGTACCACATTGTGTTTATCCTTTCATCTGTTGATGGACATTGGTTGGCTTTTAATAATTATTAAGATATATCTATTTTATACCAAAAAATTCCTGTGAATTCCCGTAGACACATGCTTGAAATTTAGAATAGGATGCCTCTGTTTAGAATTATTTAATCTTTTTAAAGGAAACACAAAATCAATGTTAGGTGGATGTTTTCTTTCTTTTTGA